GGTAGTAGCAATTATTATGATGAAGATTTCAAGACTAAATGACCTCACATGTTTTTTGCCCATAAAATAAAGGAAAGTACAGTCATGCTTTTTTGTTTGTTGTGTTTTGTTGTTGATTTTGTTTTGGTCTAAAATAGCTGAAATTCTTTATTCATGTGTTTAGGAAGTGCTTTTGAACCATGCAAGACAAAACATCTAAGACAATACAAACATTTAGCTTGGAATAATTGTGTTTGGGTGTTCTGTGGATAATGGTTGAAAACAGTTCTATTCCAATTCTTCAGTTGTTTCTATTTAAGTGTCTGGAAAAGTGACCTGTGCATCAGAATAACCTAGTGAGGTGTGTTAAAAATACAGAAGCCTCAGAGCCCCTGAACTGAAGTCGCTTGGAGTGGAACTTGGATATCTAGATTCTTTAAATCTTGGTGAATAATTCTGATGCACATCCAGGATTGAGAACCAACGTTCTTTTAGGGTCCTTATAACCTACTGAGAAATAACTTTGGATAGGACTAATGTGGTCCTTAGCTTGAGCAGACCTTAAAGTAACTTTTTCTATTTTTAAACTTAAGCTTGGACAGATATGAGTTATTTAAGGAACTGTCCATTTTGTTGAAATGACCATTTTAGAGATAATAACATGGTTCTAAACAATTGTTTCCTAAAATGTATCAACATTTTTCTATTATTTAGAAGAGTGCTCTGATTTAATCCCCAGATCTCCAACTCACGATTAAGCCAAACAATTTAAACCTTTTCCCCTTTATACTTTGGTCTCTTCTACTGTAATTCTTGTGTTCACTATGAACCTTGGATAACAGTGTCAGGGAATAACAATGGAGAATCTGAATTCAACTGGAATGGGTGCTAAATTTATCCTATTATTTAAGATATGTGCTAGAGCATGACTGTGAATATGGGCCAGGCTTTGATGGCTCCTATCTCCATTAAGATTACTATATTTTAACTTCTAGCCTCTACTGTTACATACATACACACACACACACACACACACACACACACACACACACACACACACACACACTCATTCCTTGTATATATATATTCAGCCTTGTTTTCTCCTGCCTGGGGTATATTCACATATCCTTTTCATTAAAATTAAAAATTACATAAATTTCAACAAATTGGAAAGTATAATTTTTATTTATTTTTGTGTATAGTTTTTTTAAGTAACAGTTCTGGATTATTTGAAAAGAAAATGTTTTTGCTAGAAATGGTACAAGCACTGCAACTTTAATGTATTTTATTACCTTGGCTCAGAACTGAATTTCATTTTATTTGGTAATTTTTACATTGGTAGAAATCAGATTACAAGGGTATACATGGACTTCTTTTTCCTTTATGTATATGAGGGAAGATGAAAGAAAAACCCCCCAAAATTACAGAATTATCTTTTGGAAAGCAGGCCCTTGTAGTACAGGCTTCCCCTGCTAGGTAAGTGTTCTAGGAACCCATTGGCATCAGTATACTAGCTAGTGTTTTTATAAGAGGCTGAGTTGTGGGAGAAATGTCCTGAGTTGTGGCAAACAGGTGACTGGTTCTTCCACCATGACAACGCACCTGCCCACACTGCTATGAGTGTTCAGCAGCTTTTGACCAAAAACAGCATGCTCCCATGCCCCATCCTCCCTATTCACCTGAACTCCTTCCAGAGCAACTTTTTTTTTTATTTCTCTGGATGAAAAAAGTCCTCAAAGGGGAATGTTTTGCCAATGTGGAAGAGGTGAAACAAAAAACAGCAGAAGTGTTAAAAGGCATCAAAACTGACGAGTTCAAATATCATTTTGAACGTGGAAAAAAGAGTCTTAATCGATGTATTGCCTCAAATGGAAAATAGTTTGAAGGTAATTGAAGTTTAAACATGTAAGAATAAATACACAATTTTTTATAAATAAATATCAGGCTTTTGGGGGTCCCCTCTCATAGATGGGAAAGTTGTATACCTAACATTTTTTTTTTTTTTTTTTTTTGAGTTGGAGTCTCACTCTGTTGCCCAGACAGGAGTGCAGTGGCCGCTCCTGGCCACCACAGCCTCGACCTGCTGGGCTCCGGCGATCCTTCCGCCTCAGCCTTCAGAGTAGCCAGAATTACAGGCATGCGCTACCGCGCCCAGCTGATTTTTTGATTTATTGTAGAGATGAGGTCTTGCTGCCCAGGTGGGTCTCGAACTCGCAGGCTCAGGCAATCCACTCACCTCAGCCTCCCAAAGGCGTGGGATTACAGGCTGGACCACCGAGCCCGGCTACCTAACATTTTTTAATCATCTAGTGCACATATGCATTTTTATGCTTTCAGTCAATACAGAATTGGTTAGTTCCTAAGAAATTTGGGGCAAGATTAATCATGTATCATGGAGAATGTGAACATCATATCAGAATTCAGTCAAACATGTTGGGCTGTGCAAAGACAATGAAAATGATGTAATTTTTTTGAATTTTTGTCACTTAAAATATTATTTCCACCAATGTATTTTACATCTTTGCCCAAGGTTAGGCAAAAAGTAGATGACACATACACAGAAAAAAAAAAAGAGGAAAAAATGAAGCTAAAAGTTAGAGATTTTTCTAAAAAAAAACTCTATGCATTTTACAGAAAATGAAAACAACTGGAAAAATACGAAAGCATTTAAAAAGTATAAAGTATTGCATCAAATAAAGTATTATTATTTTATGTTTGTACTAGTATCTGAGAGGGTAGTATGATTTCTACTTAATAGCCATTTTTTTCTCATGCAAAAATATAGTAAAGTGACAATGTAAAAGTGTAAAATGTAAAAAAAAAGTAAAAATGCAAGCAAAAAATGTGAAAATATTAAAAGATGACTTGTGTATCTTCTTATGTGTAGTAGAAATTAAATTGTGGCTACATAATCATGTACATTGAACACTCAAAGTGATTTCAAAAACAAGTACTACCCTTGGGTTCTCTTTCCCAGTTTTTTTACTAATAGTGTGTCATTAACCAAGTTTCTGGCCTCCACAGAGTGTCACTGTCTTCATTAACAGTATACACACACACACACACACACACACACACACACACACACACACACACACACATACATTCTTGATTTCAAATCAAAATCATTTTTTGCTACCTTTTTTTTTTTTGATAAATGTACGGGGTACAAGTGCAATTTTATTACATGCATAGATTGTGTAGTGATCATGGCAGGGCTTTTAGAGTATCCATCACCCAAATAACATGCACTGTACTCATTAAGTAATTTCTCATCATCTACCCTCCTCCCACTCTTTCACCCTTCCGAATCTCCATAGTCTATCACGGACTCTCTATGACCATGTGTGCACATTATTTAGCTTCCACTTATGAGTTAGAACACTGCCATTCTTTTTTGTGTATTTCAGATTTTTGTTTATTTGTTTTGAGCCTAGTAAGACATTCCTTTTGAAATATGCATTTTAACATTTGGATTTCTACATAGATGAATATTCATTCTTGAGAATAAGAGAATAGCAAAAGGATCCAACCAATATCTAAAGCAATTTTGGGAAGTTCATTTGTAACCCTTTCAAAGACTGGACATTCAAGATTCTTTCATGGAGTAATAGGCCACTAAAAGACATAGATTCAAAATTCCTTTTATGATTTTTCACCTGAGCAACATTAATGAGATCCAAACAACTTGTCAATGTCCTTATTAACACCTGCTTTTTTTCTTGTCTATTTTATTCACAACTGCAGCTAGTCTAACTTATTTTTCCTAACCTCCCACCCCCATCCCACAATAAAACTTCCTTCACAGCCCTCATAGACATTCTCTATTCCTTTTTTATTCCTTATCTCAGTTCTTTATTGTGAAGGTAATTCTTTTTTGTCTCACATGAGTCTTTTTCTCTGCAGGTGAGAAGCAAGAGAGAAACATCTCTGAGGTCTTCCCTTTTGTGAAAGGAGTATGGCCATGAACACTCTTACTTGAATATTTATTGTCCTATTATGCATTATATATTAAAAGACAGTTCACTAATTCTATATAATTGGATTTCTTTAGCCAATGTTCATTAGAGATAATCTCTTATACAAATAACGGGTCTATTCTCCCCATAATGACTTCTAAAAACTTATCAATGGTATGCCTAGAAGAGTCTCTTTTCATTGCTCTTATAAACTGTCCTGCTATAATTTCATTGACATCTTGAGTATCTCTTTTTCCTTTCTGTGGAGGAGAGAAACCACTGAGGCAATAGAACGGTTGCCTTGAGGAGATAGATGAGCTGTGATTGCTGAAAGAGGGATTCTATGAGATTTCTGGCTCACGAGCAGAACAGGGCGGGGCATGTATTGTGGTAAAAGTAAACAAATATTTGGTCACTGAATAAATACAGCACAGGAGCAAAAAAGAATATAAGTATCTAGAGATATGAATTAAAGAGAAGGGGATTGTGACAAGAAATAGGATTGTGATGAGGAATTTGGTTATAACTTCCTTATGTTCCTCTTCTCTTCTCTTTTAACCACATCAAGTGCGAAGAAAGACTCCCCCATACCATTTTTTTGAAAATATAATAGAGAGGAATTTCTCTCTCCCATTATCTTCACCCTTTTTATCTTCCAAGTAAAATAGTTTGCTTACAACCAGGAGTGGTGGATCTTAAATAATATAATCCTTAAACAGAAAGGGGTATTCTGTGTAAGCATGCCTTCTTGCTAGATTATACAGAAACTTGTTTTTATATGCTCCCAGAGTGCTTTAAATCAGTTGACAGCACCAAGCAGGAGGAGATTTATTTTATAATCCTCCTAAATGACTAGCAATAGAACTGTCCTGAAGGAAAATGCTCCCGCTAGCCCTCCCTCCTCTCTATCTCATTTCTATCACATTATCAATCGATTAGAGTTGTGAATAGCAGAATACATCTCTGGTGAAAATCTCATCAGACAGAGAGACATGATAAAAAAATCATTAAACAGGAATTTCTAGGCCAGTTTTTATCAGGAAAAACAAACAGATGTCTCACCTTTATATACAATGGCTCCCTAAGATGATCAACAAGAATGCAGGCTTTTTCTTCCCACACAGGGTTGAGGTTCTTGTGTATTATTTTACTCCTAAAAACTTCTTTTCCTCCAATTTTAAACTTCACGTAGGGATCACTTGTCCCTGTTCAAAAGATACAGATTGAACCATGTTAGACAAGCCTTTCTATGGAAGCAAGCGAATCACTCATCAAATAATCAGGAAATATTTAAAGAAAGAAAAGTTCAGTGATACTTATCATGTGGGAAAATAAGGGCTAAATATTTTTCCTAAAATTTTCTTTTATGTTTCAAAGTGATAGTAATTATTGTCATTATTATTTTATGTTCTGATCTTAATCCTGTAACCTTGTCCAGATATTTTAAAACACTCTATTACATGCAGAATTTGTATATTTAATTCAAGTTATAAATCATGATCTGACATTTCTCTTGGTTATCATCTGGTCATCTGATCTTGGCTAGTTTTAATTCATTTAAAAAAACTTACATTTGCTGCTAAACTTTTATATTAGTCTAATGGACTTAGGGAAAGGCTAGGGAAAGTCTCAAAGCAGGCTTGGTTCCATCCTTGGTCTCATATTCTCTCTTGCGCAGAATTTTCAATTTTAGAAAGTTAGGAAGGAACGGAGATTTCAGAGGAAGGCATCAGGAGGAAGGGGACAGGTATTTATTAAATTAATTGGATACTTTTGAATTATCCCTCAACCATCCTAAGTTCCCAATGATGATAAAGAAAACCAAGGTTGTTAAATAAGTTGTTCATTGATACACAGCTAGCAAGAGATGGAGTTAGGATTCCAATCAAGGTTATTTGACTAGAATGCATTCACTTTTTCTACAGCTCCTGCAAGAGGGAAGGGTCTTCACATGCTTATGCATTATACCATTTCTCATTTTTATATGAAGCTGATGAATGAGACCAATCTTGACCTGAAGAGTCTATGTTATTATTAAGAATTCCTAGAGGAGGTAAATTAGTGATAGATCCAAGTTAATCATTCCAGTGTGTAACAATCTTCCACATAAGATAAAAATTCTTTCTATGAGGGGGGGTCCCCCAAAAAACTGGAATTATTTTTTGGAGGGCAGGCCCCTTGTAATACAGGCTTCCCCTGTTGGGTAAGTGTTCTAGGAATCCATTGGCATTAGTGTACACCAGCTTGTATTGTGAGAGGCTGCATTTGGCTGCAGTAAACTATTTTTGGGGAGATTCTTTCAGTGCATTTGCTCATTTCATGATGGGTGATTTACAAGTGCACCTGCCCACGCCAAGCTGAGTGTTCAGCAGTTTTGGACCAAAAATGGCATGACTCTCCCCTCCCCGCTCCATCTTCTCTGTTCAGTTGATCTTACCCTGAGCAACTTTGTTGTTGTTGTTTCCCTCGATGAAAACAGTCCTCAAAGAGAAATGTTTTGCCAATGTGGAGGATGTGAAACAAAAAAAGGCAGAAGCACTAAAAGGCATCAAAACTGATGAGTTCCGGCACTGTTTCGAACAGTGGAGAAAGCATCTTGATAGGTATATTGCATCAAATGGAGAGTACTTTAAAGGTGAGTGAAGTTTAAACATGTAAGAACACACAACTGTTTTTTTTTGTTGTTTGTTTGTTTGTTTCTGAGTTGGAGTCTCAGTCTGTCACCCAGACTGGGAGTGCAGTGGCCACTCCCGGCCACCGCAGCCTCGACCTGCTGGGCTCCGGCGATCCTTCCGCCTCAGCCTTCCGAGGAGCTGGAACTACAGCCGTGCTACCATGCCTGGCTAACTTTTGATTTATTGTAGAGATGCGGTCTCGCCAAGTTGCCCAGGTGGGTCTCGAACCCTCAGGCTCACACACAACTTTTTATATATAAATTCTGGTTCTTTTGAACCAGAGCAAGGAAGAGGTATAGGGCCTGACTCCCTTATGATAAAGTTGGGCTTCTTTCTCTCTGCTTTGTCCACATTGAAGCTACAATTGGCCTTTAAATTTAGAAAAATGGGAGGGGAGCCTTGAAAGCACCATATAAATGTCAGGAATTACCATTCTGATATCCTTCAACTCAAACTCTATATCCCCCTCTGTTTGCCTCAAGACATGTAAATTTCAATGGTAAGTATAAAGACTGCCTCGTAGACTTTGACTTATTGTTTCATCTTATTTCATCTTTTGGGGGCTCTCTTACAACTCTCCACAGCCCCCCCAGTATAATATCTTTTTAAGCCCAGACCTGGGCACAATAAAATGATCCCAATTTTCCATTATGAAAATCCATTTCATTCTGACAGATTTTATTATAGAAGTACCAACTTAAAAAATATGTATAAATGTAAATACAGGCAGTTACATGGTAACCTGTTATAATGCACTCTTTAAAGAAGTCAATGCAACCAAAATGTTTAATGATTAAAAATGGCCATTTTAAACAGTGTGGTTCCCAACTATGAGGTCAGGACCCTGGGGCTGGGGTGTTACAGTACATATTTTGAATGACAGTAAAGTCATGTACCTAGCTATGTCATTGGTTTTGAAAATCACCTCTCTAACTACTACCACCTGGTAAGACATGACATGTTTCACAAGAGCCATTTGGATCACTGTTAATATCTTCAGCACTGAATACAGAGTAAGACATATTGTAGACCCTCAATAAACATTTGGTGAATAAATAAATGATTTAATGGCCTAATAATATCAGGGATAGGGAGGTAGTCTAGAAAATTGCTTGATGAAAATAAAAGAAAATTTAGAAATCTCTGCTCTAAGTGAGTTTTCATAGTTCAGTATTTCCAGGGTTCCCAGGCATAACTTCATGGTGTCACCATTCAGAAACGAGTTCCAAAACTTTCCTCTCTTGTGCATGGACAATAAAGCCTGTCCCTCACTGTCACAATAAACGACTTAATAGTTTAATTATATGGGGGATACGGAAGTAGTCTGTAAAATTGCTTGATGAAAATAAAAGAAAATTTAGAAGTCTCTGCTATAAGTGAGTTTCCACAGCTCAGTTATTTGCAGTGTTCTGTCCTGTGCATGGACAATAAAGATCTGATACGCATAGTTATGTCTGAGGGTGACAGCTGAGAACAAGAAATGGCCTTTGAGTGGCTAAAGCAGATGCCTCAAAGAACATGTGTTAAATCTCTTATCCTCTTGCAGAATCACTATTTGCTCAACTTAGGCAAAATTTGTAACAGGTTTGGTTAACAGACTTTTCAGCTAAAGCATACTAGAAGCTTAGGTGGCAAGAGGAGCCAGTGGAAGTACATTAACAACTGACCATCTGAGAGCAGGGAAGAGGAATTTTAGAATTTGAAGAGAAGTTACAAGTTTTTTTTTAAGTTCTGCTTTTTTTTTTTTTTAGAGTACTTTGGAATTAGAGCACATGGGTCCAAGAGAAACTTAAGGCTTATAGGTGATAGATGGTAGCAAAACTGAAATGGACCCCCAAGAATAAAATAGCATGATGTAAGTGAAAAAAAAAATTGGATGGGCTAGGTTCCTCAGAAACCTCAAAAACAGGTTAATGAGAGCATCCTCTTTGGTAAAGTTTACAACACACACACAAAAAGGGGAAAAGATGAACTGTAAAGTAGATGGCTCTGGAAGATCTCACTCATTAAATGGACAAAGAGGAAGCCACATCCCCACCTTGTACCATATGCAAAGATAAACTACTGACACCTCAAAGGACTGAATGTGAATTGTAAATCTACCAAGCTAATAGAACACATTGGACTGAAAATGGAGGGAAATACACCATAAATAAGCAAAAACTTAAAAGCACAAAACATAATGCAAGAGAGGTGGCAGGGAGGGATAAATTTGTGTATAGCTAAGAATTTCTGTTCAACTGAGGATACTATGGCAAAGCTACCCAATAGATGCAACACTGAAAATATTTGCAGAGCCTGAAACAGACAGATTAATATCTTGACTACATAACAACTTTTGAAAATCAGTTAAAAAAAAAAAACCCAAAATCCCAGGAAATCCAATAGGGAAATGGTTAAATTTTATGAGTAGTCAATTCACAAGAGGAGAACCCCAAACAACAAGAAATAAGTAAATGAAGAAATTGTTAAAAACATTAGTAACCAGAGAAATATAAATAATTGAAACAATGAGTTCACTGACCAGAAGCACAAAAATTAGAAGGTCAGATGTTGTAAACCTGTATATCACTTCATGGGCAAGTTCCCATATTTGGAATAGCTTTCCTGCCTCTCTTTGGAATAGTTGAAGACAGTACTTAGTCTTCCAGTCTTTCTTATAGTTAGGTTGTAGGCTGTGCCCACCAATGCAAGACTTTGTATTCCCATAACTGTTGCTGTGTAACAAGGAACCCTAAAACATAGTTGTGTGAAACAACTATTTTACTATATTTAGGGATTCTGTGGCAAAGGAATTTAGACAGAGCATGGTGGTGATAGCCTCTCTCTGCTCCAAGGGACCTGAAGCCTCCATTGGAAAGATTCAAATGGTTAGAAATTGGTTACACTTTTCTGCCTCTTGTGAGAATCTTTGTTGAGTCCTGGACATGTGTTCCTCCTCATCCTGCCTTGAATGTAGAGACTTGGTTTCTATTTTGGTTCCTCTCTGTGACAGAGGTGCACACACCAGCTGCTTCTAGTCAGCCATCTTGCCTCGCCTTCTCTCAAATGACTAGAAAATGGTCTCATCTGAATGTACTTGTATGCTGGTCATAGGCTGGCCTCTCAGCAGGGCTATTGGTTAAATACCTACACATGGCTTCTCCCTGGGTCCTCCTGTGTAGGTGGTTTGTCTTCCTAACAGCATGGCTGCCAGATCCTAATCCCTAGCATCCCCAGATGGAAGCACACGAGGTTTTAATAATCAAGCAATTTTTTTTTTTTTTTTGAGTTTGAGTCTTACTCTGTCACCCAGACTGGAGTGCAGTGGCCACTCTCGGTCACTGCAGCCCCAACCTGTTGGGCTCCAGCGATCCTTCTGCTTCAGCCTTCCAAGTAGCTGGAACTACAGGCATGTGCTCCCATGCCGGGTTAATTTTTTTTATGTATTATTTATTGTAGAGATGAGATCTGGCCAAGTTGCCGAGGTGGGTCTCGAACCCACGGGCTCGGGTAATCCACTCACCTCGGCCTCCCAAAGCACTGGGATT